TCTAACCAAGATACCTCAAATGTCTCTGTTTGGCTTGATGAGTGGTTAGAAATATCCTTTAAGAATAAGTCATCTTGCTTCTTTCGTCTTGGTTTTGTAAAGAGCAGATTTAAAAGATATTGGTGGGTAAGTTGTGCTGCTCTGTCGTGTAAATGACCCAGCACAGTGAAGATACTTGGAGACACTTGCACGGTAACACACATATAGGTGGGTGTTCCTCTGCACATACCTGCAATATAAAGACAGAATTAAAAATATTTTTATATCATGCACCAACTTCCATGACAGCTGAGCTTAACATACCTGGCTACTGGATTCCATAAATGAGCTTCTTAAACTCTGGAAGTCTTTCACAAATGTCATTAAATAAATATATATTTTAGTTGATATTAAAAATAGTATTATAAGACTCGACCCTACAGCAATTTTTCAGAATTTCTCTCTGTCTGACAGTGTGTGGATTTTTTTTTTTTTAAAGCTGTGAACATCATTACTGTTTCATTTTATTTCAAGTTCATCTTTTATGTAGTGTGGCTGCCAACACGTATTAACATTTCTTTGGAAGAGATGAAAGCTGTTCTGAAGTCATGGTGGTGCTTTTATAAGACTGTAGCAACACACAGAATATATGGCATTTGTGCACGTTGGACTCTATTCTATACCTGGTCCAGAAAGGCAACTGTGATTTGGGTGGCTTTGAATGACAAAGTGCTGGTCATCACACCCCTCACTTGCCTTGCCTGTGGCAGTACTGTAGTGTGAGTTGGGCACTGAATTTATTCTGATCTGCTATATTCCTGCAATCTGATAAGTGTTCTAATTTCATTATCCTTCCAGTGCAAATTAAAGGATGAAATATTTCTTAGACACTTAGTAGCCAGAAGCAAGCATGGGGAAAAAGCAGTAAGACACTGTTTTAGCTTGGAGAAATGTCTCAGAAAGGACTTTCTTTATTGAAAATTGTCTCTCATATGACTTCAGAGGAAACTCCTGCTCCAGCTTTTCTGGGGCCTGATGACTGCTACAAGATAGTCCTGGTTTTAAGTTTCTCTGCATAGCAGGAGATGGAGTTGCCTTGGTAGAAGGAACTCTGTGCAGTCACAGCTGGGCATCTGTTGTTTATTCGCTTCTTTAGGCTCTCCTCCTCCGTGAATAGCCAATACTTGCCCAAAAAAGCACTGTCTGTGATTCTTTCATGGGCATGAGTTTGTGTTTTCAGATGTTCCCTGTCAGTGGTAGTTCTCTACCAGGGTAGTGGTGCTGTTGATGAAATTCTCACTCAGAGTGGAGGCATCGGAGCTGTCTGTGGGCTGACTTTGAAAAGCTGACTGGTGAAACCAACAAAGATGACTAAGGATTTTCTGAAGCTGCAGCTCTTGAGTTGTTTTGAAAAGTGGCCAAAATCATTTCCTAGCTGAAAGTGTGAATCCTGTAGAAATTATTGGCAGTGTATTTCTTTACTCCTGCCTTCTGCTAGGGAAAGTTTTCTGTTCCCCAGTAGTGAGAAGAGTTACCAAACAGGGAAAATTAATGAGCGTGGAACTGATCAAAGAATCAGTTTTCTTTGAAAAAGGTTGACAAAGCACATGGCACACAGAGGTAACTGCAAAACATGTTGGAGAACTGGAACCTTTTTTTTTTATTATTAATTAAATGATCTCGTGCACTACAGATAAAGAAATGCAGTTTGCAGCACAAGTTTATAGTGATGAAGTTTCTGATAATCTTCAGTTCTTGTTTCATTACTGAAGGTGAGCCAATGAGACAACGCTGTATCTAAAACCCAAGCACAGCAGTTTGACAAAGCATCTGTTGGAATTGCAGTTTATAGAACAGATAGTCCAGAATAAGAACAAAGAATTGGTGTCTCAAAAGCCACTAAATGTGAAGGCTCAGGACAAGTGAAGGCAGACTCATGTATTCTAGGAAACCTAGGGAGGACATGGGCCTATTTTTGTAGCAGAATGGTCTTTCAGCTTGAGGAAAAACTGATCTGACTGCATAGCAGAGGTAGAGAAGGTGTGCCAAAGACAGCAGCATAGCCAAGAGACAGTGATTGCAGGGTCATGATGCTAAAAGATGTTGAAAAGATGTGTGTCTAAGGCAGTTTGAAGACCAAATAGAGAAGCTGAATGTCCAGTTTTGGGAAACCTCTAGCAGAAGATGACAACTATTAAGCATAAAATATAGTAGAATTTCACAGTGATAAAATGACACATAACCCCCATTTTTTTTTAATAGTGTTTAATCTAGTGTAATGCTTTACACTTTTTTTTTCTCATACAGGCTTTACAGAATTGGTAAAATGAATGTTAATTTTCAGTATCTTTGAAGGAAAACTTTGAAATACTGTTCTATCTTCAATTTAGAAAAAGTGGTTACATATACCATAGCTCTACAACATGACATAGGAAATACATCATGCTTGTGTAAAACTGTCATGCTTGTGTAATTTCTTGGCAACTTAATACAGTCTTGAGTGACTTTTGAGAAGATGTTGACCCAGTGGCTTCAAATGTATCTTTAGGATAACATCATTGTTTTAATGGATGCAGTTTTAAATCTACCATGCTATTAAACACAAAGGGCAGATTTATGCTTGGCATATATCCCTTGGCAATGATGGCACTTAATCAGGGAGCAATTTTCCCTATTGCATTTAGCAGGTTTCAGATTTATAAGCCATGGAGCCATTAAAATATGACTCCATCAATTAGAAAGTAATTGTGTAATGTGTTTCTAGTGCCGAGGGATTAACTCAATTTAATCTCAATGCGGTTAACAAAGGCAGTTAGCTACTTGCTTTAAACATGAGTTAAATCTGTAAAACATAATGACTTCATGGAGAACAGGATTGGCCCCATGGCACACGCCCAAAAATTGGGCTGTTGACTTCACTCTGTTTAATGGGAACCTTGAACTGAAGGGCAACATGATTGAGCCCCCAGGGGCTGCTCCTGTAGGTGGTCTGTACTTGAAATTCATGTACTAGTTTGGTATCTTTAAAAAAGACCATAAAAGAGGATATTAAACTGTATCCAGCTTCTGTCCTCTCTGTGTTGATGCCAACACTTGCTTTAGGGCAACTTCATAAAGGAGAGATGGGAAGAAACTGAAGCATAATGGTTGAGCATTTGTCAGTATTTGCTGACATCAGTAATTATTATTAGAAAATCCAACTTGACATGCTAGATATTAGACAAAAGCCAGCAGTGGAACTGGAGCTCCTTGGGACATTCCTGTTCCACAGCTGGCAGTTCCCATCCGTGTTAGCTGGCAACCAGCACGCTCTCCATCCTAATTCGTTGCTCTGCAAAGAAAAATCAGGCTTAATTAATCTGCAGGATACTTAACTATTGTTAACTGATGGTGTCATGAAGGCCTTCTGGGGGTTTTACCACTGAATTTGGAAGTATTTGAGGAATTGCAGGGAAAGCAAGGACATACTATTATACAATGTCCCTGAGAGTCCCTCGGTTTGGATAACACTTTTTAGTCCTGCTAAGGTTTGACATGAATGCCAGTGAACACTCCATCAAAGTCTTGTCCTTCTGGAGTAGAAAACACTAAGCTTTCAAGCTAACCCCCCCCATATTTTTCAATAAAAGGAAAAGCGTATTGGTACATTTGTAAAGAGATTTGTGGTTTCTCTCAACAGATTCTCCTTTAGTGGGTAGGAAGGATCCTGTAGCCATGATTGCCTGTCTCTCTGTGTAGGGTTAAAAATAAAGAGAAACAGAAGGGTTAAAGCTGATGGTGAGAAGGCAGGAGGGATGCTGTGGGCTCCCTGGGGCCTTGGGAGGATGGGGAGAGGAAGTGAGATCTGCTGTGGCTGGGGGGGTTTGGCTTTTTCTTTTGTTGATAGCAAGCCTGCAGTCTGTTGAAGGCCCACTGAAGATACTGCTTTTTTTTTTTTTTTCCTATACCATATCCCCAAGATCTGCAGAAAGGGAAAAGAATAATGTAATTTGCCTTGGGTGTGTCATGTTTCAATGCCATGCCCATGCTCCCTGTGGTCCCAGCCCTGGCCACACAGTTTGGTGGCTACTCTCCCTGACGCAGCCATCCACCTGCATGCAGCCCTCCTTGTAGGGTGGGAGCTGCTCCCTGGTTAAGAACTTGAAGCAGGGATCTCACAGGCTGCCCATGAAGGGTTTCCTGTGCACCTTTCCTTCAGGGAATTATGCCTGTGACTTGGGACTTCCCACCTAAGATGCAGCAAGGGCAGGGTGGGAAGCAGCCACTAAGAGGTGAGCAGCCAGTGTAGGGTCAAAGTAGAGTTTTTCACCTGGAGGGTTGAAAGTCCCTTGCTGTCAGCCCTGGCAACAACATCCCTTAGTGTCTCTGTCTGTCATCCCTCTGTTGCTGAACAGAAGGATGCCTGGAACTAACACTCTTTTTTTTTTTTTTTTTGTTCCAGTTCCTTTCTAACATAGTCAGTGGCAAAAGCCTGAAATTCAACATAGTGTATAATTCAAAATATTCTCATTATTTATTCGTATAGGTGGGCATTCCTTATCACTGTCTCTGTTTAATTAAGGATGAAATAAAACCAATTCTTCCTTTTTCCTTTCACTCTGCCTACTCAGGCTTCTTTGAGAACAGGCAAAAGTGAATCTACTAGGTGGATACTCCAGTAGAGAAACTTGACTGATGAAATTGTGTAGAAGCACTATTTATTTAGCTTTGAATGAAAGACTTGTGATGTTGTCCATATCCTTCTGTGCTTCAGAGTGATAATCTGATCTAGGATGTTGTCTCTCCTAGAAAGCCCTGAAACAGAGTCGTGCAAAATAATGCAACTGAAGCATAACTAAAAACCTAGAGGGTGGAAAGTTGTGCTGGGAAACTACCACAAAGTTCTTGCTAATATAGTTACTGAAGATGAAGCTTGAATGGTCATTCAATTCAGTCTGTCCCTAAAATGAATTAACTGAATGTGTATCAACTTTTCTGCAATGAGCATTGAGTTTGATTTCCTCTGGTTTTATTTCTTCTAGGGCTGTCAGAATGAGTGCACGGGTGGAGGATGTTCAGGAGAAACAGCAAAGCATGTGACTGACTCTTTCAAGGTATGTTTTTTGTTAAAAGATGACTATCTGAAGCATTTCAGTGGATGGTGCCAGCCAGTATCCATAACATGGTAATGATTGTTGAGCAGGAGTTCAGAGCTACTGACACACTTGACTGTCAGAATTCTGTAAATAATTCTGTAAGTTGCATTTGCTGAACATATTTTCGATGTAGAAATTAAGAATGTTACAAGAAGAAGCCTATTATAGTTTCTGATACTAGCTAAAAGGTTAGTAGTAATTAAAATTAAAATGAGATAGGTGACTTTAATTTTACTCTTATCTGCTTCAAATGCAATAGAAATCAAGATTGATTTCCCTCATCAAGTTCTTTTTCCAAACAACATTTCTGTAGCACTCTATTATTTGTTAAACTTTGGCATTATGAATGGTGTTCAGAAGAAGGTTTTTTCCATCTGGTCCCAAAGTTACAGAGCTAAGGATCTCAGAAGGACTCCAAAGAACTCTGCAACTCTGCCACATTATGAGCACTCCACAAGCAAACAGAGCTATGATAATAAGGAATGCTGAGCAGCTGCCAGGAACTGACATGAAATTGCATCCCTCTCTTTTTATTTTAATCTTATGCTTAGAACTGAGCTCAGTTAAGATATCATTCTTTTCTTCTTCCTCCTTCCTGAATGCAGTGGAAGTAACTAAGAGCTCATTTTAAACACTGTATGGACACAGATGGCAAATTCCAGTTTTCTGTTGGAAATGTGAAGCCTGTCAGCACGTGTTCCTTTGAATTCTACACTGTGCTCATTTCTTTTTTTCCTGCCTTTTATACTTCTTTTGCCTTTATTCCTTACGTCACACATCTGTAATTCTTTCTCTCCCTCTCTTTCCCTGATTTACAGCCTTTAAAAAGCCTCATCTATATTTTGCAGACATAAAAGTAGTACCCAGAAAAAGGTGACCTCATTTGTGCTTTTTCAGCAGTCCCCTTCCTGTTATTTCTGACTATTGTCAGCAGTACCCAAAATGAAATTATAATTATACACTTTGTCATGTTCTTCCTTATTTTTTTGGGTGGTGTCACTGCTACACAGTTTTCTGAACTATGCTAAAGTAGTTAGTTCCCTTTCAGTTGTCAGACTTTAAGCAGAGAAGAAAAATAAATGCTGGAATAAAAGTTTTAAATTGGACTCCTTGGTAAGGTTTATACCAGTGTTGATGTCATTGAGAACAGCAAAGAATTCTTGAGAGTCCATGACTACAGAATTTCACCATATAGCAACATGCCACTTAATTTCTATTTCCTCATTTTCTCAGCCCTTCCCAGTTCTTCTCTTCCTCATTTCTTTGCATTGTGTCTCTCTGGCAATTCTACCAAAGGAGGAAAATTTAGGATGATTCAGAAAATGCTGACAAAACCAGGCATGCAGCCAGCTTTGAAACCCCAAGAGTTCACAAGTGAGGAGTGCAGGGTTTTGTGAATTCACCTTCAACAAATAGACAAGATAAATCTCAGCAGATTCATTCAATGGAATGTGCTATCTGAGAGCAAGAATTGCTTTATAGAGAGGAGACCCTTGTGTAACAACACTAAGCTCCTTCTTTCACTCTTTGAGGCAGTGCAGAAGAAAGATAAAGTGGCCACACTCTGGTAGTGTTTGGGTCATAGGTGAACTGGGCATAAACTAAAGCAGACTTAAGGCAGATTTAATTATACCAGCAGTCAAGTAAGTGCCTTACCAAAGCTCCAAATATCGGGTGGCACAAAGTTGGATTTAATCCAAGCTCTTTTCCATTGATACTTGTATGTCAGCCAGGAGGGCAAGTCATTGTAGTGGAAAGTCTGTGTGAGGGGAAAAATGTATTAGCAGGTGGGACAGATGGTCATAAAGGGAATAATGTTAGAAAAAAACAGCTGGCTCAGGCTGAAGTCTAATTTATAAGTCCATTCCTGCCTTATGGCTCTGTTTCTGAAGATTAGCTGCAGTCGCCAGAAGGGGGTAGAGATTTCTAGAAAATACCATACTGTGGAAGGTGTGCATATGAAAGTTAAGATGAGAATATAGGTACTGGTTGTAGTGTCATGCGCTATAATAATTATTTCCAGTCTTTTTAACTTCATTGTCAAATTAAGAAGAAAAACTTTATAAAAAAAGGAAGAACCAGCACCAGAAAATAACAAATTAAATAGCCTGGATTCGTTCTAAGAAAAATTTGCAAACATTTCTGTGGAAGACAGTTATGGTTAAAATTTCAGAAACTATAGCTAATAATATTCAAAGGAATCCAGTTGACCCATGGGGCTGACTGTCCTGAGGAAAGCTGCAATTCTGTGCCAGTAACCTAAATAATCCAAGATTGTGGGAATGTAGAAAACAGGGTATGGTTTTGGTTAAAGCTTACATAAAACATATTGTTTACAGTGGATCATGTCCAACGTTTGAGTGCCACATTAGAGTGAAGACATTTCTTCTTAGAATGCAGTGCTGTGCTCTTTAGGTGGGGTGAGCTTCCTTGAATTTTACTGCAGTTTCTGCCTGACTTGGAAAGGTGGACTCAGAAAGTCCCTAAACACTGGGAGGGAAGGAATGAATGTTACCTACAATTTCCAGCAGGCAGTGAGCCCCTCTGCTAGGTCAGAGTTGTCGCTTTCTTCATTTTAACTGCTACTAAACTACCTTAATTGCTACTGAAATACCTTAATTTGACTCAATTCTGCATTTAAAAATCTCATCCTGACAGGTCTGTGATTAACATTCAATGTATGGCATTTAGAGTTGACACGTGGCCGGTGATCTTGGAAGAGCTGAGAAACATTGACAGAAATAGTGATTATGCCAGAGTTTCCTGTATTGTAGAAAGTGTCAAATCTCCAGGATTTATCTACTCACCTCCTTCCATGAGAGTAAAATCCTTCTCCCTCCCTAAACTGCTGTATGCATGTACTTATATATTTGTTTATTTAAAAAACTGGTGGGGATTTGTGACCATAACCTAAGAAATTATCCTTGCAGTTTTTGCCTGTTGTCAGCATTGGAACTCTACAAGGGGAATATGAAACCACTTATAATGGAAAGTGCAGTCACCCTCTGTAGCACTGAACGTTTTTTGGAAAGTTGAATCAAGAAATGCATGTGTCTGGATTTGTTCTTATACTTGCATTCAGCAATACCGCAAAACAGCACACAGTTATGTCTAAGGCACTTAATTTTTGCGACTAAAAATCTGGTAATTTCTTTAATGCCTTCATTCTACCCATTGTCCTGTCACAAGACAGAAGGAATGTTGTTTGTATAATGTGGTGGTCTCTTTCCATATGTAACTGATTCGAAGAAACCCAATTGGATTTCAAAGTCAGAGCTAATTCTATGAATCTGTGATTGCCATTTCCTTCCCTCATGTTATCAATCCATTCCAGAAAGACAATTTTCTTTTTGTTTTAACCTTTTGTCATGGAATATGTTTTCTCTTTGGGACTGATACATGGAGTGCCTCAAGAAGATATTACCTACTTGTACTATGTTGCTCTGTGTTTCAGTGATCTGAAGCTACGGAAAATTAGTTTGGCATCTTAATGCTGCAAAGTTCAGTTCTTTTGTTTTAGTTTTTTAATGACCTGTTTAGTGTGGCAAAGTGGTGCTGACTTTCTAGGAAAAAGGACTAGTCTGCCATACCAAAGCAGAGCAGAGTAGCTGCAGTTTACAAGTGGATCTGGACTGACTTGCTCGTGTGAAGACTTGTGGCAGTAGAATGAGAAATGTGCAAGTGGAGCTTCTGTATCTGAATGGCTCCTCATGCTACTCTAAATAACTATGAGTGTTCCTCCAGACAGACTCAACCTTCCCAGGCTCCAGGCCAGTGGGATGTGAGCCCATACAGACTGGAAGCAGTACAGGCAGGTTAGTGCAGTGCTGTGCTCAAGCTGATGATCCCTGTTGGGATCTTGGACTTGCTAGACTGAGTACAGTGCTGTGGTAATATGTTTGCATGGCTTCCAGTTTGAAGCCAGCTCAAGTCTAGCTGTGAGAGATGCTGGATATAGTGAATTATCTATAATTATGTATTTTTAGTGTTTGTTTCTTGCATTGCTGTAATGCTTCAAAACCCAAGCTGTGAACTAGCTGACACTGTGCCAGATACTGCACAAATTAGAACATAAAGATTATTTCCACACTATAGGTATAACCTACAAAAAACCTCAACCAAAATGCCTGACAGTTTTTCCATAGAATCTAAAGCTGTAATAGCGTATTTTACACTAGAAAAAAACCCTGAAAATTTATTTCCAATGCAGGCATTTGTGGCTCAAACTGAGAGGTTGCCAATGCAAGTTTTACATTACTGTGATTTGTAACCATGTTTATACTAATGAAACTATATAATGGAATAATAGTGGGATATGGGGTTCCTTACTCTGGGAATTGGGAGAGGGACTAAGCCATTTTGAGATAATAGACAGTTTTAAACTTTATTTTAGAGAACTATTTTATGTGTGAAAGCGTTGCTGACAATAATAAATAAGCAATTCTCTAACCCTGTTTTCTTTAAAGAAGAAAACTGTTGCTTCACCAAATTTTTTTCCTTCTCCTCCAATGCAGAGATGAAAAATGTGTAAAATACAGAAGTTTGATTTTTGAAACATCTTTTTAAAATCTGAACTAATTGACTGCATCACACTGTCACATTAGCATGATGTGGTGAAAGTTCCACTCCTTGTAGAGTTCAGGAAGTACAAAGCAGTTTTCTTGTGATTTTATATGAGCAGCAGGTAAAGTTACTGACACGCTCAGAGCATATGGATCAAGGGAACACTGACATGTTTTTGGAATGAGAAAATACATGCATTATAGTTACCACATTATCTACAAGGCTGAGAAATATAAAGCAGTTTACGTGGTTTATATATTTTCAAACTCTTTCCAGCTTGTATCAAATTATAATTTTCTACTGACATCAATAAATTATTTACCTGCCAAAGCATAGGGGCACTCAGTGAGGCTTTTTTGTTGTGTTGAAGCTGTTAAATCCTCTGTGGGTTTAAG